CGGACAGAACTGTTTCGCCCTTTGTGGACTCACCAGCGCAGCACAGAGGAAATAAGGCCGAACATACATATAATGTGGCAGCACTGAGCAATGCTGCTATGATATTATGCACAAGAACTCGCTCATTAAGAGTTGCGATAGCAGCAATGTTTGAGCTTTTTCTGAAAATATTGATGCGATTTCTGCAGATTTCACTTGTTTTGGCATGGTTGCGAAAAGCAAGATGCGAAAGATTTTGCCATCTTTGGGAAAGGGCTGCCATCGTTGATGATTCTGATAATATTTCATTCCAAAAAGTGAACTCCCAGATCTCCAGTATCCCATGAAATGAAATGCTTATCATCACAAGGAAGATGGGCAAGTACTGCTTCTTACAACTGAGGAGAACAAAGTGTGGATTATGTGTAGGTGGTTGTGTTAAATACCACCTAGAAATGAACGTCCTTACTCTTCAACGCTAACGTACATATACGTCATTAACTGCAGGAAATCAACTTCGTCCTCTTCGTCCATGCCGTCGACCCAGGACTATGAACAAATGTAACACGCTTCAGCTTACTTGCCGAAGCATTATGCCATGCACGAGCCACGAATACAGGACCCATGCATAAACCACCTCGCAACCGAAATGTTTGGCCACAGGCCGCCAGACGTTTAACGAGATGAAAAGAAGATCTACAGCAGATCATCAGTAGGGTATTGAGCAAGCCCTAGCTAGTCTGACAAGTCTAAAATATGCTACAGCTTCAGACAATAACGCTTTATCATCCCCGGGAATGATCAGGTCGCACCTTCAATGTGTAGCGCTTAGGGTTGACACCTGCCCGCATCTATTACTATGAACTTTCGCCTTTATATCATTGGGCCTAGTTCCCGTTTATTGTGCGAATTAAAATAAACCAACCAACTTCCGGTCACACGGCCAGTTCACACAGGCCATTCGCAGGCTTCCTGAAAATCAGCACGTATCGTAACATCTTCGTTGCAAAGCTTGTACTAAGAGAGGTTAATTCACTAATACTCTAATAGGCAACCTGGACCTTTCCTCGGACAGATGAAGTCACGGAGGTAGCTGTTATTTAACGTTTCCAGTCAGGGCCCGTTCAATACAACCTGCCTAGCAATCGTCTAGGTTTTCGCCTGATGATAGCGCGAGCGTGATACTCGACGCTGCAATAACAAACTGTTCCACCTTACTTTGTAGTCTTGAACTATAGATACATAGACATTAGTACTGCCACCAGCAAGTGGAGAAAATGAAGTATATTCACAGGGTACTGGTCGTGGTGTTTGCTGTAGGAATGTTCGGAGTGATGCTACCGCAAACTGGAGCAACAGGTGAGGTTATCCCTAAGCAGGTCGCGAATTTCCTAACGTGCGAACACATGCCTTACCTTACCTATTGGGTGAAGTTGTTGTGGTTGTTGAATTTTATTTAAAGTCGCAACACAAACAGGTGATGGCGCCTCCTTTTATACATGTCAGCGACATGACAAATTTGAGCTACGGGAAAATGAACCCTGTTGAAAAACTGAAACCACGGAGTGCAACTGACCGATTTGATGTCGAGAAGTTCATTTTCTAACATCCTTGCAGAACAGTAGGTACCTATAGGATACGATTTGATCAGATAAAATATTACACAAAATAAGAAAGGATTGACCATTGGTGAACAGATAAAAAAGTGACCTATTTTGAAAACTTCGACGCTTTCGAGAGAGCACAGAAATGGACGTGACAAGGTTCACAGCGCCTGGAGAGCGTTGTTATGGTATAGTGGTTGATAAAAATCGGTACAGTGCCGAAAGCCACTGCTTACCCCCTAATCTATCCAAATATTAAAGTTTCGTATCCGAACAGCAACATCACTACATAACGAGTGCATTCACTAGACGACTTTGACCATGTGCCCTACCCAGTGAATTTACTGTAAATCCAACAACGGGGAAACGACGTATGTAAGTATATTTTTTACTTATTTGAATTCGCAAGTGCACGCCGGCTACAACGAAACAGGTGAAGGGCTGACCTTGTAGGAGCTTCAAGTCTATACTTTGGAGGGTATTGGTTGCTTCGCGCAGGATTTCTCGTTGCGGACATGCTTCAAGACTTCGTTTGCTTAGAGTACGACTTGGCCTTAAAGATCCCTTTCTTGAAGCGATCTGCACACTGTATCGCACAAACACAACCGATCACTTTTCTGACACTGAGGAAGTGCGGGTGCATATCTATAGTTGCGCCAGTGCGTGACGTTGTGTGTGTGTGTGTTTGCTCGTGTGTGTGTTCGTGCGTGTGTGTGCGTGTGTGTAGGTATGCGTGGTTGCGAGAGAGAGAGAGGGAGAGAGAGAGAGAAAGGGAATGTGTGTGTGTGCGCGTGTGTGCGTGTAGGCGTGTGTGTGTGTATGCATCTGGGGGGGGGGGGGGTGCATGTGCACATAACGTTATGTACGAGTAAGTGGGCATGTGTATCTGTGGATGGGTGTGTACGTCATAACCGAGTAGGTAATGTTGCTACATGTCTCTCTCCCACTCCAGTATCACCAACATGCACACGGTCACAAACTACACAAAATCTGACCATTGACAATCATATGAAGCTGACAAGTGCGCCCTATGCTGTACCAATTCTCCAGCCACGAACATTTATTCCTTTCCCGAACATATCCTTCTACAACGGCTGTCCATTTATCCAGATTGATATAACTGCAGATGTGTCTCAACAATTGTGCGACCCAAAGTTGGTGCTATTGAGGCAATTTGCGGGGAAAAAGTATCAGATTGCCTCTCAACCCATGCCACCTAGTCCACATATGGTGGGCATTGCAACATGGACTGGGGTGAGCGTTAACGACTACATATCTGATAACAGCAGTGTTAATGAGGCATACATCCTCGGGATCACCATGAAAGCCTACTGCTCATTGAGCTATAAAGCTGCCTCGTCAGAAGTGTCTTGGGTCTTACCGCCTGACAGCTCGCCACGTCTCTTACTGCCGTTTGCCTTTAGTGCTGCTCTGGAGCCTTATATCGCGATAACCATCCGTGGTAAGCGTGAGTTATTTGGTGAGCGCCAATAATTTCCATTGTTAATAAACAATATCATGACGTTGGTATTTTAGGGATGTGTGGGGGTGTTTGGAGCATCATATTATTGTGAAGCATTGTTCAACTTATTTCTCCGAATAGACTCTTTGACTCTTTGACACGAATATACCTCGTGGTAAAAGTGAATCTCTTTGAAGATGGTAACCAAAATTATGGTGGCCGCAGGGTCTGTCCTCAGGATTGCAACTTTCATGTTGTGTTCTTTGACAAAAGTGAAGTACCTAATCTGTTCCCATTATGTATTTCCTATGACAATCTGCTACTTTTTAAAAGAAAGGATCTGCTCTGAACGTCGGAGCTAGTGCTTCCTGCCGACTGACTTAACGCTTGAGTGACTCACGACTGCGTCAGGAGCACACGAGAAGCCCGACGAACCTTCCACTCCGCAAACTTGCAAGAAGGCACCACTCCCTACTCAATGCACAGTGTTTCGTGGAATTCACTACTCATCAACAGTGTTCTAATTAATTTTCTGATCTGCTGAGAGCACTGCATCATTTAGTGCTCTTGGTCGTGAGTCGTGAGTCAGTCAGGTGTGAAATCAGACTGCAGGGAGCGCGAGTTCTGACGTTCGGAGAAGTCACTTTCTTTACCAATCACCGCCGTTGTCACAACATCTTTCGTAATGTGTTATGTTCTGACCTTATTACTGTAGCGTCTAATGCGTGCGACCATGGTGCATGTAGCGACTGCCAGACGCTCTACCAAAGCTGTCCTGGGCTGGAAGTAACTGGTAAAACTCCCTTCCAATGCTTTTGTACTACTGCATCTACTACTACACCTGTCCAACCACTACTCCCGTGCACCTCACTACACGAAGTACACTCTCTCCTCTAGCTAAAACCTCCATAGTACCTCAAGCAACAAGTGGCGCTACTCGAACACCTCCACAAGAGCTATATTGTCTGCTGTTACAACTCTACGGACTAACGACAACACAGTTGATGCAGCTTAACCCTCTCCATCAACAGCCGTGGACAGGATCATTATTCTGCCTCCAACAGCGCAAGCAAAGGGTTTTACTCCGCGCTTCAGTATTCCCTTGCTTCTCCTCACTCTCCCCATTTTACTCGTACTTCTGCATCGAATTAAAGGGGAACTCCACGAAAAAATGAAAATTGGATAGCCTGTAGAGTTTCGGGCGCTGAGTCGAATGGTCTTGGTCCGAAGTCTCTACGAGAAAGCGTTCTTGAGATATTTCAATTTTAGCCACGCCCCATACCAATGTATGTGTGACGTCATTGTGGCAATGTGCGAAAATACTTGGATTTTGAATCTCACTTTCTTCAGGACGAAAGTCACTTCAGAAAGTAGTTTGCCAAGTCGCCTGAGCCGCTGCAATGCCAAATTGTTGTGTTGTTGATTGTGCCAGTATCACATCATCCTCCTGGGGTTAGTTTCTCAAATTCCAAAAGGATGGAGACCTGGCAAAGCGCCGAGATGTTGCAATGCGTCGTGAAAATTTCAAGCCTATTTTCGCAGCACGAGCTATGTTTGCTCGCTGCATTTATGATCCAGAGGGACTTGAGAGCTGAGTTTTGACGAGTACGCCGTCCAGGAAAGCCCTCATCAGTGTACCAGTGCCCTCCGAACCGTGAGCCTCCAGCAAAGCGAACTCAACAAGCTGCAACTGAGAAGGCAGGGCGAGATACGTCCCACCAGGATCAGAAGAGTACATCACCCCATCAACTCCGACTGCAGCTAGCTGATGAACGATATTACCCCAGTAACTTTACGCATACCAGTACTCAAACTGTGCACATCTGTCATCAACTGGGACGCAAACAGACAGACCCCCAGCAAGTACGAAGGTTACAGAACTGTTTGCTTGCGATGTGCAGGCAGCATGCACGACGAACTGTCTCACCAATCCTGCCAAACTGAACCAGTGTAAGTTGATTGCGTGGATATGTCTCTATTTATAACAGCTACCCTACTTCTAGGCATGGTTGCATGAATACCATATCACTCAGAGCAGTTGTTAGAAGTCTGGACAGCCTTGGAATAGTGCAAGTAAAGTGAAACAAAAATATATTACACTCCGAGTTCCACGCTTGCGGGATCACCAGGCCAAAAAAAATCTAATTTCGAACAAGGAATGGGTTCTGGTTGTATGCGAAAGAAAAGTAAGTGAAGACCTATTGTGCAAGGAATACAGTGGGAACTACACATATTATACACATGCACTCACACCATCACCCACATACTCAAACTCACTCGCACGCACGCTAGCCTAAGGATAGTACATATGCTGTAGTAGTGGTATACTTAGTGAAATGACTATGTGTACATCTAATGACGCCGCCACTCCACGCCAGAAGACAACAAACATCTGCTGCAACATTTTTGCTCCCGTCTCTTATGGGCAACACAGGGAATGAAACGAACAATGCAATTGAGAACAAGAGTCGTCCTGTACGGTGAAGTTTCCATTTTCTCATACAGCAGTATATTGTCTAAGCAAGTTTGTTTTCTCCACATTATTTTTGCCATGCAGGTATATCACAGTGTCATGCCAAACTACATTCTCAAACGCATTCGTTTCTCAATTCTGGGGATGATTGGACACGCACATCTCGCAGCTCTTGACGACGTCAATGTCAACCGTCGCCACAGCACAACCAAAAAGACCGCGATAGGAAGGTATAAAGTCCAGTTCTCAAAGCATAAAGAAGACTGTGGCCAAATAGAAAATTATACGACAGAAAGAGCTATCAGTATGTTGACAAGCTCATGTGTGAGGTGGTAGCGGTTGCAAATGGCAACCTCCATGTTCCTGCCTTGGAGAAGCGTGTTTCCCTGCCAAATTCCAGGTGGAAGCCTCCTGAGAAGGCTGAGGTGGTGCAGGATTTGGATATCTTTGCCTGATGGTATTCACAACGCAGGCTGGAAGACGACAACGAACGTGCTTGCCCAATTTGCCGTGTACATAGTGTGTACTGCCTGTGTGCCGCATAGCGTAGAGATCTACACAAACACAGAATGTCATATGGAATGTGTATGATGAGTGCTTGTACACATACCACATTGCTGTACCGTAATAATTATTATAGTCAAATACTCATTTACTCTACATATGCGCTGTATTGCACCTACCGGTACCTACCTGCACTTTCAGTGCGCGCGCCATACTAATTTAGTGTCCACTGGTACAAAGATGGAGGGTCTTGTAGAATTTACCATAATTGCTGATTTCAAATTGAATTCCAATGATCTGGGGGATGAATACTGATTAGGACGCGTTCGATTACCTACTAGTACAGAGATGTCTTGGTCAGAAAGTACAGATTTCTTACTCTCCTGCCAGAATTTGTGCATTATTTTGGTGTACGCTTTCTTGACCCCACGCTTGTACGTTGCATGCCATGGTATACTAGAAAACGAGTTTATTGACAAAGTCTATCGCTTGAAACGATAAAGTATGGGTTCGGGTGTGATCAAAATTAATGCACCCATGGTGCTCATAAACTGTGTGCAGTGCTCTCTTCACCAACAGAACACTACCTACCATACTTTGTAGATCTTGTACCAATCCAAGGGAAAATGACAAAGACAAATGTGAGTCATGCATGAAAACTTGTGATAGCACGGTCTATAGTTATATTTTTTTTTATGCAATAACATGTTATTTATAAAGACAGGACAAGTGAATAATTAGTCAGTCCATTGTTCATGATGATCTCCGACGGTTACGTCGGCAAGCGAGCCTCCGCCACTGCCAAAGCAGCGTGGGCTCCGCAGGAGGGTGCAAATTTCAAACCAAAATTTAAACGCCTACAACCGCGAATGCACATGATACAGGATTTCAGAAGGCTGAAGGAAATCCTGCATCTAACAAATGCCATAACATGAGAGTAATGCTCACCCCTCTTCTCCGCCAACAGATGAGCAATTCGTTTGTACAGTGCTGTTGATGCTGGACCCATTCCGCCACTGGCTGACATGACCGCCGGAACAAAGGAGGCTTGCTCAACCTGCCTCACCCGCTCCTCATAGTGCCTTCTCTTTTCTTTTTCATGTCGCTGATACACAATAGTATGTGGTGCAGATCGATTTGAGCGTGAGTGAGGATTAAAAACCCGTATATCAATAAGTGTACGCTCAAAACGACTGCCCCACAAACCATTGGCAGCGACATCCAACCGGGCACGGTCTTCCACATTTGCGGTCCGGTAGCGAAGACGCTCCCCCGTCAGCGGTTGCACGGTCTATAGTACAGGACAACGTTGTTCGTGCTATGCCTGACAACAATAATTAGTTACACACAAAACATTACGCGCATCGATCCTCACAAGATAAGTCAAGACATACTCGGAGGAAAGAGAAATTTGTTTGTGTCATGCATGAAACTTGTGATAACTACCAGTACAATGTCTTTCTTGTGCGACGCCTACTGTAGTGCGCCTGACAACAATAAATTTCCCCCAAAAAATAAGAATAAGTGTATCATGCTGATACGCGATCCTCACAAGACAAGTCAAGGCAAACTAATTGAGGCTTACCTAATGTCAGACTCTTCTGTCACTGGCATTGGCGGCTTCTGCATGTCGAGATAACCTCGAAGAGCAGTGATGAGCACAGCCTAATGCAAGGATACGATCTCGTAATCTGCGAGGTCCGCTACGCAAGAAACCTTGGGCCGTCTTGTCGACAGCGACGGCAGCATCCTACCAGCAAAATCATTCCCGCGGGCTGGGCATGGCTATACAATTTTGTCCACGCTCGCACCAGTCGGAGTCCCAAACGAATCGAGATTCTGGTGGCCAAGCTACTCGTCTTCTGTCGGACGCAGCTGCTGACGCATCTTCTTCCTCCACATTTGTTACACGCGATGGCAGCTCCTCAGCAGAGTATCTGGGCTCCCTGCCCCAACCATACGCGGCGGTGGGCTGTTGGTCGTCCTCACTGGCCTCAGCATCGCTGCCTTCATTGCTGGGGACAGAGGATTGTTCGGAATCGCCCATCTTCCCTTGAAATACCAACTAAAATTAGTGCTTGTAGACTGGCGAAGAGAAACGACTTTGCCACAATGACGTAGGCAGCCCGTGATGATGTAACCAAATGGCCGCATGACGTCAGGGCGCGGCCCCCGTTTTTGCAATTTCAAAGTGAAATATCTCAAGAACGCTTTCTCGTAGAGACTTCGGACCAAGACCATTCGACTCAGCGCCCGAAACTCTACAGGCTATCAAAGTTTCATTTTTTCGTGGAGTTCCCCTTTAAGCGCAACTATGTTGAAGCCATAGACTCTACCAACGCAGACGTCACCGCGGGTACGTCTAAGTCTTGCTACATGACTGACGGCACGAAGCAAGATTGAGTCCATGCACAGGTGTCCTAGGCACCGTCTATTGGTGTACATACCCAAGATTACCTGTATGCTGACCTGGAGACAACAGAAGATGCCAGTGCTGAAGCGCAGGGACGTCACTACACGCTACTGTCTACGCGTATACAAGCACATCCCGACCATAACGAAGGCCTTTGTCCCAAGAGTAATTATCTTCAAAGAGGGGATATCCCTGTTGACACCACGCCTGATGGTGATTTGTATTTTTGAATTGTATGTTATTATTTTACTTGGGCATTCCCAACAGACCCTAAGGTTTTCTATCAGGGTGCCCAAGTTTAATGAAATTGTTAAGCTCCTGGCGAAATGAATTGGGGATATGATTTGTGCGAAGGGATTCGGGAAGCACATTAAAGCGGTCAGCACTAGGCCTTGACGGATTATGCTAGCATAATTTTTCGCATATTTCCTACCAAAATCGAATAATCGCATAATTCGAGGCAAATCGCATACGAATCGCATAAATAATGGAATAATCCGCCTGTTCGCACCAAATTCCATAGAGTTGTACATGTTCTACAAGTACAAGTAGATACACCAGGAAGTCGTAGGTTTACGACTCCCTTGATAACATGTTCAGTCCATTACAATCCGTGATGGTCGTAGCTACAATTGTAGGTCGGACGGTGCGTTGACCCCGTTGAACTTTTGCTACTACAGTACAACGCCCTATAAAAAATCCCCAGTTATTTTGCACAGAACCATCATAATTATACATTAGCAGCATATGTGAGCATAAAGCGGCATAATATGATAACTTTTAGCATAAAAATAGCATAATTCTGCAATTTTTTCAGCAATGCGAAAATAATAATTTCACGAAAATATTAGCATAATCCGTCAAGGCCTAGTCAGCACCAAGGAATGAAATAGATCAGTATCCAGCTTGAGCTTGCACAATGGGTAAGGAAAGGGAAAAATTGACTTGATACGTTCCTTAGTAACGCGTGGGTTGTTTGGAGAAAGTAATAATTATGTTTTGCCTTATGCTTTGCTCCTGCCCGATGCAATCAACTTCTTTCCCCGAGACACCTAGAAAACCTTTGGCCCTCCTTTTTTCGAAAATTGGTGGGTATGGAAGCCGAGGCCATCCGGTTCTTTGGCACAGCGCAGGAGATAGCTACTCGGCCACAGGTTCACGTATTCATTCTCAAGTGGCACATTCTATTCATACATGTAGGTATGGGTAAAAACACTTTTGACGTCCAAAACACTGCGGTATAATAATTATATTCTCACGGTGGCCTGTGGCCAATAAGAGAAGTTGATTTGCTGTCGCTGCTGTTGTTCAACTATAATGGTGGATCTGTGCCACACAGCCAGCGGTGTGTGTAGTCAACACACTGTACTAGACATGACATTGGTTGCTGTTGTTGTTGTTGTTGTTGTTGTTGTTGTTGTTGTTGTTGTTGTTGTTGTTGTTGTTGTTGTTGTTGTTGTTGTTGTTGTTGTTGTTGTTGTTGTTGTTGTTGTTGTTGTTGTTGTTGTTGTTGTTGTTGTTGTTGTTGTTGTTGTTGTTGTTGTTGTTGTTGTTGTTGTTGTTGTTGTTGTTGTTGTTGTTGTTGTTGTTGTTGTTGTTGTTGTTGTTGTTGTTGTTGTTGTTGTTGTTGTTGTTGTTGTTGTTGTTGTTGTTGTTGTTGTTGTTGTTGTTGTTGTTGTTGTTGTTGTTGTTGTTGTTGTTGTTGTTGTTGTTGTTGTTGTTGTTGTTGTTGTTGTTGTTGTTGTTGTTGTTGTTGTTGTTGTTGTTGTTGTTGTTGTTGTTGTTGTTGTGGTTGTGGTTGTTGTTGTTATTCTCTTCTATTCTACATTAGGCATGTGCACATTCATAAAATATAAATAATAAACTTGCTCCATGTCTTTAGACATTATTCCAGCTCCAGAACCTTCCAGATCCTCTTTGACGGAAGATCATGGTTACCATTCCTAATCACTACACCATGGTGAAGAACTGAACCAAAATGTTGAAAACGAAATCGTTCTTTTGTTACATTTTTCACGGTCATCAGTCGGTTTACGGGCTACATACAGAAAGATGGATGACAACCTCACAGCTTGCCTGCGAAGTTTCAAATTCGAAATTGTGGTTTACAGAATAATTTCGCTTTTACAGAACTACTTCGAAATGTACTTCTGGTAAAAAAGGAGAAGGACAAAATGTTACAAGTTATGACTAACTGTCCACCAACGTAACCAGATCATATACAGTCAGCGAATGCGACAAAAATGGTACACAATTGAAAAGGAGTACTGAGACATTCGTGGACCTGAGTTAGTCATACCTCGTAACATTTGGTCCTTCTCCTTTTTTTTTTTACCATAATCACATTGGCTCACCATCAGCGTTCAAGGATACTTCTACCTGGTATTTATTCATTTCGTTCTGCAGCATCAGATGCGTGCGAACAAGCGGCATGTGGCAGCTGCCAGACACTCTACCAAAGCTGTCGTGCATTAGGAGCAACTGGTAGAAATCACTATCAATACTATTGTAGTACTGCATCTAACTACACGTGTCCAACCACAATTCCCAGTCCACCAACCGTTTCTGACAGCAGTATGGGGATATCGTCCTCTGCTGTACAAACTGCTACCGGCTTTGTTCGATTACCCACGACCATGAGTACAATGGTTTCTACATCGTCTCTCGAAATGAAAAGTTCAGCACTTCCCAGCAGTTCAACCAAACACACAGCCGCTAAAGGAGATTTCGTTGAACCATCTACCCCATCCACATCAAGGTCTAGCAGTACAGAAACTTTGGACTGCCGTATCATTGTGAAAACAGGGCCATCAACAGGTATTATCCTGGGCATCGTTGTGCCTTTGCTCCTCCTGACGCTGTCTGTATTCGTGATACTACTACATCGAATCAAGCAGCGTGATTCCCTGTCCGCAGCTGGCCAATCAGGGTTGCAGAATGAGCAACTGGGCAACTCTTGTATCCCACCGACACACCCAACTAGGCCTGAAGCATCCAATAGAGCGTTAATAAATTCGTCTGAGAGTCCCTACTATATCGATATCGAAGCTCCGAATGAAGAAAACAATTCCGCCAGCACGACTTGGTTGCCTGCCATCACTGACGCTGCAAACCAGGACCATGGGGATGAGTATGTACACATGGATTCATTGAATACCGTACACAATCACGTTTCCCTGTCGGCTGATCGGGAGACACATGCAGACGTTAGTGATGAAGAACAACTGTCACAATACACATCACTGTCAGCAAGTATGCAAACACAACCTCACCCGTACCAAAGTATTGATCTCCAAAGCAACGACACTCACAGCGGTAAATCTTCTACTGACAAGGGAGCAGGCAATACTGTGAGGACACCGACGTCTTTTTCTCGGTCCGACGGCAAAATACAAACCCATATCGATGAATACGTGCCCATGGCATCTTCAAGTGGCTTACAGAACCACGATTCTAACTATTCCAATGTGAACACACCTGATGACACCAGCGCCGATGCACAAGGATCTCACTACATGCCGCTGTCTACAAGTGCACAACTGCAACCCAGCACTTACGAAAGCATTGGCCCGCATAGCAACACTGCCGGCGGAGTGGAAACTCGTGCTGACAGCAGCCCCCATCGTCATGGCTTGGTTATCTGTAATACTACACACTCGGAGGAATACAACACGGTGTTCATGCCCGTCGCACATGCTCTTTACACATCTCTCACTAAAGATGACTGCCCGAAAGTTGATGCGGATGATTGAACTACAACTCAAGCCATCAAAATCCCCCAGTTGCCCAGATGCCCGAACCGATCAGTATTATTTTACGAGTTAGTCTAAGAAAAACGTGTTCCTCCCTTCATGAATCGCATTTCGAGAACCCTCAATTACAGTATGATTAATTTTCGTTTTTCAACAATTTTTCGATGATAGAATGTTGAAATTTGCTTTGCTCGTCCTGCCAATCTGCCATGCAAGTAATATCTTTTTTCCTGAACGTTCGAACCCTTTTTTTTCAAATTGTCTGTGCATGTTACCTATGTTGTTTAGTTGTCGACTACGTAGTTCTCGGCTGTAGTTTATAAGTATATTATTCTTCTCTCATGTACAGTACACTGGTGTTATGTCGCTTTGTTACTATGTACCGTCAGCTGTCATGATTCCTGTATTAATCTTTTTCCAGTTTATTTGTTGCTTATTTCTTATTACATGTATATTCCTTTTGCATATTCTGCAGTTGCACGCGTGTGTTCGCATCACTGGCCTCGCTCGTTCCTCATTTCTTTAGTTCATTTCGCTTATGCGCAGACCAGCCAAGCTTGCTTGGTGATGTCAACGCGGACAAGCGTATAATAATAATAATAATAATTTCAATGATAGTACACAAGCGATAGGTGTACGACTCGTGCAACGTTGACATACTATGTCACTTCTCATAGTGCATTTCCTTTCTATTAGAGTATGCCTTTCTCCTTTCATCTCAGTACTCACTTCACATACTTCTGCTGTATTTGAGTGGGGTCCTCATTCCTTACCGCATTCTACCTTTCATGCAATTGTTTTCAGTATGTGAGTTGTGTTCCCATTCTCCAGACCAACATAGCAAATTGTGTTTTGTTCGCCCGTAAAAGAGGCTTATGTCTTTGTTATGACACAAGTGGTAAGGTAGGGCTACACTAAACAAATATTCGGAAAATGGCAAATTTCATGTCTGTTGAAAGCAAACTCCTACACTTGGAGCAGCCAGCTTCGTAATTGGTCTGCCTTATATCACGTGATCTATACTGTTCTG